CCATTAACAGAAAAAGTGTATTACAATCAGTCTCAGCAGTCGAGAATCACTTGCGTTCTATTATCAAAATGATGATAAAAGTTTCAAGATGACTGAGCTAATTTACCAGCTTCCTGCTGCTATACCACCCACACCTTTCCAGGCATATGTTGGATCTTTTAATCTTTTAATCTCTTGTACACACAAACTGAGTCAAAACCGAAAACAATGTTTAAAAAACCCCTACAAATTAATGCCCCATATTCAGAGAACAAGGAGATACAATTCAGAGTAGGAAAAGCTTCTTAAGTTGCTCTGTCTTATGGCTAAGTCAAGACTAAAAGGAGCTTTAAACTTCATTATTCTCACTCACATTACCCAAACAAATGCAACTAGTTGAGTTCACAAACTGGTCAGTATGAACCATTAGTGTGAATATAACATACCTGAATACAGTGAAGAACCTCACTGTTGTGAGGGCACCATTACTATATAAAGATGATTTAACAATTGCTAAGAATTGTTTTTAACACCATAAATTAAAAAAACAGGGGAAATACAACTTGTATAACACTGACATTTCCTTTAGAAACGTATTCGGGATGAAAATGAATATAAACCTTCCACATTCCTCTGCTGCATTGGACCCTGTAGTGTCATACGTATGAACAGGAAAAGTTCAGACTTACTTCCCACAAATTCAGTATTACGTTGCAACTGCAATCTGCTGTGCTCTTCCAGTTTCCCAGGCTTGACAGTACCTTCTGATGCGACCCTGTGCATGCTTTTGTCAGCAACACGGCAATGCACGTAGACAGAAACAACACAAAATCAGACACAAGTTTTACAGAGCAGAAAACATTTTAAGAACAGAGAGGTGTGTTCAGACTTGATCCACAGAGAAAGCATATCCACAAACGTGCTTTTGTGAACACTTGACTTTACATAATAAAGGAGATGGGTTTTCTCCCTTGCTATGTGTGCAAACTCTAACATGGAACGAATATGAGTTACTTCCACTTTATTTTTTAACAAACAGAATTTGACACTCCTCTGAGAGCAGTAAGTGAAAAGAAGTGGAAACTCCATCCAGTAAGGTTTTCTAATTCTCTTGGATCAGATTTTTAAAAAATAATTCACATTTTTCATTTTTCTTTTTTTAAAAGGCATGAAAAGTACCACTTAACGCATGTAGGTATCCAATCTTTATGTTAATAGCATTTTTTAAAAAAACACCAAACATAAAGCACACATTCACGCAATTAGCCTGCTTGTTGTAAAGTATGCATGGTTGCAGGCAACCCTTTAAGCAAAGTTATAGACGGAATTGAAGAGAAAGTGTAAGGAGACAAGCATCTAAACCACTGATGTTTTCAGGCTGTCTGCTGGTGTCCTTTCATTCATTCCACGGTGGACACAAACCATCATCAAAACCCTCTTCATTCCCTTATGTGACATTATTAGAGGAACCTATAATGGCTGACATTTAGATGTCGTCAGAGTTATCCTCAAACCTTGAGATTTGCTCGGCAATGCCTCGGGAGGGAGATCACTGCCACGGACAGGGATATTTATTCAAAATAAACATAATTAATTAAATTCAAATGTTTGTCTTTACAGGAAGACCTAAGTAGGAATCCAAAGAATTCGCAAGTACATCTCACCATTTCTAAGACTGTCAGTTATACAATTAAATACCTTATATGCATTTCTGAACCTGGCACTGAAACAATCAGGTATTTTGCAAAAAACCCCCAACCAATGAACTGAACAAAAAAAAAAGCAACCCCAACACAGGCCCAAACCCCCATAAACAAATTACAAAGACTGTTAACATAAGGTTTTAACCAACGCAGACATTTTTTAACTTTGTGAATATGAAAGCATCAACATTACCCTTAGTTACATAGGTATACTAAGACTTAATAAATAAAAAAATGGATTTAGGTCTTCCTGTACAAGCAGGACACAGAAATTTGACCCAAGTCCAAGTCCAGCCTACATAAGATGACTTTTCAGTAAGTCCTCTATCACAAAGACTTTTGGTCCATGGTCACTAAACAATTCAAGGGATCCCACTGATTTTTTGGGTAATATGTCATTGTCCATATGCCATGTCACCTTTGCCTCAAATATAAACAGAAAAAGCCCCTCACACATTTTCTACAGTGACATTTGTCATTTGTGCTTTTTGATAGAGCAAAGGCTGCTGTTTTCCCTTCATCAGTTCAACTGCCGCAGCATTTTCAGAAAAGCACCTTATCAATAACTTCCAAGAAGAATAGCAGTGGACTCAGAACTATTAAGTTTGAACCTTTCATCTGTTTCACAAGACTGGGTAACATATAACAAAAGTATGCAACCTGACTTATTTCTAAAAACTAGCATGATAGAAAGAGTTGCCTTATTTCCTCATCACCTGCAACTGACAGGCAATAGCTGATTTCAGAATGTCTTATTTCCAAAACGAGCACAGAGGTGAGGTTCATGCATCTCCCTGCACAAAAGCCTGCCACATGGTGTCCTCGTAAACCTGCATGTGTTACCTTCTCAGCCTAAACAAAATGAAGCTGGTACCTAGAACCATCAGTAAGTCTGTTTAAAACAGGTACATCCCAGATAAATTTGGCTTTGCAGTCAAAGAGTATTAATCAGACGTGCAGATTTCCTCCCAGATGAAGTTATATGCTGTAACATAAACCTGCCCAAGCCTACCTCCTGCCAAGTAATTTAGCAGTGACAAAAGGGGGTCCTTAGAAGTTCCGCATGTTTATTGTAAGTTACTGAAACAAAACAATGCTGGCAGAGTCATTTTCGCCTTCATACACACTGCAACAGTAAATTTTCAACCAACCCCGTACCAGAGCACACTATCACAATCAGCCTCTTTTTCTTCGCCAGTGTGTTTTATTTAAAATGACTTATTTTTCAGAGAAACCAAAACAAAGAACTCTGTCTTAGAAAGAAGCATATTACAGCTAAGCAGACTTTTAATCAGTTGACACTTACCAGCCATTTGTATACCCCAGAATTTATTTGTATTTCTCAAAATTTATTTGCGTATCTCTAAAGTACTTATTTGAAAGGTAGTCTAAAAGATTTGCCCATGGTCACAAGGAAATCAATGGCAGTCAAGGACAGAGAGTAAATCTAAAGAGCTCTTGCTCTGGTAATTAAAAATATGCAGCTTATACATAAAATTACAAAATTTGGAATGTTGCACTGCCAAAGCTCTTTCATAAATTTAACACTTAGGAGGCAGGAAAGAAGGTCTACAAAATAAATAGTAACACTGAGGCTTTAAGATGGTTCAGATTATTTGAGAACAGTAGGAAATTACAAACCTTAGAAAAAAAACACAAGATTTCTTCATCTAAAAGCACCACTGCTAGAAATGTGGCATTTTGAAAAAACAAAAGTTCAGCACTAACATTGATTAGAAATGCAAAGATAAGCACTCCAAACAACAGACAGTACTGCCTTATTATTACTTACTGGTTCTGCTACCAGCTGCACTAAAAAAGAACATTCTTATTTTATATTTATTTTATTTGTCTTTAAAAGTATGCTTATAAAACATAAATTTTGGGCCAAAACAGACCTGAGGGCCTGCTTATATTGCTACTTTTTAAAAAAAGCAAAACAAAACATCTAACTATTGTCTGTTCAATTAAATCTGTATCACAAAATCAAAACAGATAAATGATGTGTAGCTTTTTTATTTCTTTATATCTACATAAGGGACTTCAGACCACTTCTTTCAGGTTATCTAAATGGGAAGTTTTCCTACTATAAAGTGACAGAGGCAAACACCACTTCCCTACCAAAAATTATCTGCTTCTCACAGATGTGGCAAGCCAATCCACAGCCACTTCTATGCAAACATAGCCATAGGTAAACACAATAGTTTGAATTCAACTCCAGTGAGTAGTGTACATGTAAACAGAACCTTCTGAGCCAAAACTAGCTTTAAAACAAACAAAACACCCCACCAAAACCCACAGAACATTATTACATGGTTTCATGTCATGCCCAAAGCTTATTTGATAAATTTATCTCACTGCATAAATTTAAAGAAAAAAAAAGAAAAAGCTGAAATGCAGTATTCTGTATGTCTGATTTCTAGTGGCATGAATTCACCATAGCCTGAATTTGTTATAAGTAATGGTAACTGTTAGCAGGAAAAATATTAAAGTTTCTTTAATATTTCATTATGCTGCCCATTTGGAAAGTATTAGTGCCGAAACAGTGTCCCGGAACTGTGTCTGTGTTAACTTCATATAAAAACCCACCACTTTTACAACCATATTTCAATTTAATTATTGTACACAGGTTAACAAAAACGTATCACAAGTGAAACTAAACACTGGATTTAACAAAAACAATATTCAGAATGGTACAACGCATGTTCATTTTCTCCAGGAAATAATATTACAAGTGTTCATCTTAAGACAATTTAGTCACACTAGAGACAGAAGTTCTGTTAAAATGCAACCGTGGTCTACTAAGCCACTTATTTTACCACTACAGAGTATTTGAAGAGTCCTACGGCCAAGGCTTAAAAATCATTTAAGATTCAAACCCCAAAATGTCTTACAGTCATAATGACAGTATTTAAAAAAAAACCACACAAAATAACCCCAAACAATTAATTAAAAGGCTGTTGTATATAGTTTTATCCTCTTCATAGCACTCTCTATTCATATAATCGCTCGTATCATTGGTAATAGGGTCTGTATCTGGCTTGATCAGGGTGGTGTGGTCCAGGAAGCGGGGCCTGAGCAGGAGGCCCTTGCATCCTTGGAGGCGGAGGCGGCCCCCTTGGAGCTGGCCATATCCCTGGACTCATTCCCCCGGGCTGTGTGAAAGGGGGACTAAGAGTTCCTTGATCTTCACTGAACTGTGGCAAAGAGTTAGGATTATAGTGATGGGGAGGGGGTGCATTTACATTTACGGGTGGGCCTCCGTGCTGAGGAGGGGGAGGTCCTGGAGGAGGATGATTCATATATGGTGGCATCTGGGCAATTATATGTCCAGGTGGTGGGGTTATTGGAGGAGGAGCAGAGGTCATTGGTGGCGGAGGAGCTTGACTATATACCATGTGAGGAGTACCTGCTGCCTGGGGAGGATGCTGCAGCGGATGGCTTATTGGTGGAGGTGGTGGTGGGGGTGGTGCATAATGTTGCTGTGGAGGCATAATATGATGAGGGTGCGATACCACTGGTTGACCCTGGTATTCAGGATGATGATGAGCAGGTGCAGGGGCTGGTGGAGGTGGTTCTCGAGCACCTGAATTCGAATCATCCTGAATAGGGACAGTTATTAAGTTGCTGTGTTTTCTCGTTGAAATGCGGAAGGTGTCCTGACTGACTGGGCGAGGTGGCGGTGGAGCCATTGACATCTCTGCAGGAGGCGCACGAATGTCTTCGTGTGGCTGGTTATAATGCTCATGTGGCACGTGCTGTAAAGGAGGTGGTGGCATCATGATATGCTGCTTTGGCGGAATGTGGCTCATATGATGTTTTTCAGGTGGCATTATGAAACGCTCAGGAATTTCGGCAGGCGGTGGGGCAATAGGAGGATGTACAGGTTCAATTGGAGGACGAGTAACAGGCTTTCCAGCTCTCATATGACGGTGGTTGATGTGAGCTTGTAAGTCCCTCTGTGACAGGTAAGTTCTCTTGCACCCTTGAACAATGCTACACATGAAGAGAGACCCTCGGACACACTGCTCGATTCGCTGCACAGGTTCATTACAGCTAAGTCGGAAGAGAACATTGGTTTATGGTCATCACAGAGAGCTCAATCGGCGATTTTTTTTTTTTTTTTTTGTTAAAAGTCAACCAGTTTACCGTAATTACCCAAATTAGAACTGACAATTTTTTCCCCACTGTAGCAATGAAGGAAACATTTCATTGATTTTGAAGTTTATCTAGTTTTTAAGTCTCCAAACACAACTATTGAAGAACACAAAAATTTCATGAGGTGGAAATTTATAAATAACATCACACTCTCACAAATTCCTTCTGCACATTAAGACTTACCAAGAGTCACTCTCACTAAGTAAATGAAACTGCCATTTATTCCTTTTCAAATTAGATCAGTAACAGGTTATCTACACAAATACTTGAACAACAAAGTAAACACTGATCTCTTACAATCCCAAAATATGGGATAGGAAACTATCATCAAGTGGTGTAGTAGAGAGTACTTTACTGCCTCTGCTAAGTGTACATAAATAAGAACCATGGTAATGCAATATCTGAAATAAGATATTGAAGTTACTTTCCTACATTTCCTTTAATAACAAATCTTGATATAACTTACCCTGGACACATTTTGTCCCCCTTTTTCTCATGTAGTATAGCACAGTCATAGCAGAAAACATGCTTGCAAGGTATCTAGAGACAAAAAATGGCTCTGTTAATAAATATAATATATAAATATCTACGTCATTTTGCAGAATACAGTTCATCCCTCCAGCACACAATTTCTACTAACAGAAGTAACTAAGTTACCTATGAGGTGAACAGGCATAATGGTAGTTAGCAGTTTACAGCATCTTTGCATAGAAACTTTCTAAAACAGTTTGTGTTGAGTTTGGGTTTTTTGGGGGTAGGTTTGTTTGGTTTTTTAAGAGTTGGCAAAAACATAAAGGCAAAAGTTTAAGTCTTGCAGTAACACCAACACTGAACACTTACAGAAGCTGCATATGCAATCTAATTACACTTGTCTTGCTGGCAAGGAAGGAAAGTTTTAAAAGCATTAACTGTCATTAAGTCAGATCCTGAAGCCTGTTACATCACACTTAGAAATCTAAATTAATCTCAGGGATTTTGTTACACTAATTTTAAAGGGACATAAAAGTGTTTTCTAACTTCATTGCAAGTCTTTAATTGAGATAAAGAGCTTATTTTTAAAGCTAAGTTGTGTAAGGTCAAAACCCACTGAACTTGAAGGTTTTTTTGTTGGTGATGGTGTTTTGATTTTTTGTTTAACATTTTCACGCTTACGTTATTAAATTGGGGTAAAGTGAAATCAGACAGACAGAAGAAACAAAAACACTTCAGCAGTGAAGGTCCCTGGTTCCATCCCGATATTCTTCTGCTGTTTATTCAGAGACCTGCTGAAATCAGTAACCTCTAGAGTCCTCATAGAGACACAGTGAAACCTAATTTTACCTAAAGGGAAACCGTGGCTGCACCTTCACCGATTATTTCACTCACCATGCGTCCATACATTTTGATGGGCAATCCACACTTATCACAGAAATGGACCGGTGTGTCATCCTTTTCCCCCAGCAAGTTTATCTGATAGGATAGAGAAGAGGGTGGGAGAACAAAATCCAACATCACTAAAGCTTCTCATTTCAATTATCACCAACACACCCATTATTTCTGAACTAGTTCAGAAGGAAGCAAGAACACAAACATGAGAAAGCAGAGAATGTATTTTCAGTCAGTCAAAAGTAACGGACGCACTTTTATTTAAGGGGGTATCTACCAGGACTACCTACAGTTTGGTAAGATTCACAGACAAAGATTCATGACTTTACCTTATAGTCCCAAAAGATGGGTCCAGGGAACCTCCTTTGATTGCCAAACATTTCACCTCCTTTGCATTCGTATCGCTCCTCTTCGTTATAATCAAATTCTTCTGTGGAAAGAAGAAAAAGAAGAAAGACACGAGCCAACCACAAAGCTTTCCTAATTGAAACCGGCTGCTATTAAAAGCATATGTCATTCTATACTGAAATCATCAAGAAATGCCACAGCACTTCTAATCTGCTGGGCCCATTCTACAGAAAGGTACAGTCAAAATAGTAAGACTGTCTGTTTTGGGAATGTGCACCATTTAATCTTTATAGTACAGCAGTACCCGGAAATTTGACACTTGTTATGCACTTGGGCAGGACGTTGGACTCCAAGTTTCTAAGACTTAATAAACTTTTGAACAATGCTGCAGAACAATATGCTTCCCTACTACAGGGCTAGTATGTACATTAATTTACCTTCATCACCAGCTTGTGTCTTTGAAGGCATCCTGTTCATATTTCTTGGAGTTCGCGGTGCAGGTTTCGTTTTACTGGTCTGTTTTGAGATAAGCTTTATAGGGATTCTTCTACGAACATCAAGACCACCCAATGATCCTGAACTATTTGTTCCTTGCAAATCATTGTCTATGAAAGAAAAAAAAAAAGTTTATGTAATTTTTCACCTACCTAATAGTTTCTAACGAGGCTAAATATTAACAGAAGAGTTTTAAGAAAAATAATTTTTAAAGCTTGTTTAAGACTCATACAACATATCAAAGTTTAATCACTAGAAAATAAATATCTTCACATACAACTTCTTCTAGAAATCAAGTCACAAAATCGTACTGGGAACAACCATGATTTTAGGAAATCTAGTTCTAAAAATAAAGATATTTTAAGAAGTTAGCTAGTCTGTCATTCCTCCACAACAGGAAAAAAAACATTAATTGTATAGCTCCTCTCACAGTGTGAATAGTACTGAAGAGTCAATTCTCTGTACAACCTTGCAAACATAGAATTTCTTATGAAAAAAGATAATTTTTACAATTTACGCAAGTTGTTTATTAAAGTTGGAAGGAAACTAGTTTCCATATTTACTCAGCATCTTGACATATCACTTAGAAGTTTAGCATAAAATATCACAAGAATATCGGTACTTCAAAGCACGTAGTAGTATCCTTGCTAAACTGAAAATTATTGTTCCCCACTACATACAGAATCCTCTTTACCCAGATTTAAATCTGAGTACCAGGGCAAAGGACGCAAGAAATAGCCCGACACGTGCATCAGCAGATGCAGACTCCAAGAGGTAATCTAGAGGGGGTATTGCAATGAGCAACACCAACGAAGGGGGTACCACTCCCTCAACTTCCAGTGAGTCTACCTTAAACCACTGCATAACGTCTCATTCATACACAAACAAAATTATGTCTTTGACGAATCTACCCAGCTTACTTTCACTTTAATTCAAAATGCCATGTTGACAAGTGTTTCAAAGCAGGACACGCGCAGCCTCTAAGGGGTGTGCCACAAGCTGTGCCACTGTGAGCCCTGCTGTCCCACTTGATACAGCACTGCAGCCCTGGAATGGTCAGTGAGACCCCAAAAGATTACAGCACGGTAGCATCTGGACGCTGAAATTAGGGCCCCATTCGTGTAATTCTGCACAGTGCCTCACAAACTACTGTCCTTCAAAGCCTATAACCATCCCACGCAAAAAGTAGGAGGAAAAACAGAAAAAAAAAAAAAAAAAAAAAAAGGAAAAGGGATTGCTCTAAGTTATTCAGCAGCTACCACCAAAACTAGGAACTTTGACAAAGTTTCAAATTGGGACTGTGCCCTGACAATCACTCTACCTCAAAATCAAGAGCCCTCAATTTCCTCTGATAGATCAAATGCATTTATTTCTCTCAGCACTGGGGCTGACATGTTTCACTCTAAAAGGCAATACATAAAAAGGCAAAACCAATAAATCCTGTTTTTACTTTTGCTTAGTTGTTGCTTTTGTTTAGGCTGTCCTGTTGGCTAAACAGATGATCCAGCAAACATACAACTATGACACCAGGCTTCCCGAGACACTGCTGGCCTAGAACGTCAGAGATAATAATGCTAAAGCTGTCTATTTTCCACTTGTTGGGAAATTCTGTTTTTTACCAGAATACTCAAAAATGCAACACCATAGACCAGAAGTCTCTGCAGGACCTCAATCCACTTGCAAATAGGGATAACTAAAACAAATTTAAAAAAAAAAAAACACTTGTGTATTAATCAGTCCATTGAACTGCCAATAAGAAACAATTAAGTTCTGACGCATGTCTTCCATATACCTTTGCAAGCTAGGAATATTTACATGGGTTAGCTGCTCAACTAATCCAAACTGGCAAGTTTATTAGTCATTCATGTTTCATGGAAGGATAATAAATTGCAGTCTGTGTAAGCAGAACTAGCAGGATTAAGTCCAGAAGAAAATAGGAAAAACATACCAAAATTGTTAAGACTACTTAAGAGAAGCTCTAACTGAGGTGATACATCCTCCTGAACTGTGACCTTCATCAACTTAAGTTTTATTTTTGTATTTCAGGGGGGTTTTAAATTCATAAATATAGCTTAAATACTATACCTTATACATATAAATTTATGATGCAATCTTTGCTAAGGGGAAGAAAAAACCCAAAAATACCCTAGAAAAAACCCCACGTCTACTCATCTATTCGTTAGACTACACCAGCATGCTAACCAGCAAAGTACCAAAGCTACAAAACCAAATTTAAGCGCATGAGAAAGTTTCCTCTCCAGAGCACAACTACGGAACCAGAAAACGCATTATCGGCACCGATCTCGGGAAACGCC